GAAAGAAGGATGACATATTTGATGACTGTGTTGCGTTTCTAAACCTTCATGGTGACGCAAAAGACCATCAACAGCAACTTCAATTTCTGCAGGCAGTGAGTACGGTGAAAGTGCTTCTACTGTCAGAACAGGCACAGGATGAAGAAACAAAAACAATTTGTCAAAATCTCTCTAAGTCTTCTACCCCATTGATCTGCCTATTTTCTGGAAGTGAAAGGGTTCAGGGTTCAAAAAATCCAGTCATAGTGAGACTAGCTGCCAAGAACAGGAATGAAGCAGAGTTAACAGAGGAACTCATAACCAATATCAAGCAATGCATTGGACAATATAACAAGAAACAGAGCATTGAAAACTGTTCTAATGAAGCAAGAAAACTAAAGTTCAAAGTTGATGAAGACAAGCAGTCATTCAAAGATGGACATGAACTGGCGCAGACTTTAGTTTGTTTGTTAAAGGAAAAAGGCTTTTCAGATATCAAAAAGGAGTTTCTGCCTCTGCATGGTGAACTGTGGCATGACTGGTGCTTGAAAAATAAGCAGCAGTATCACCTGAGTTGCAAGACAAATGAAAGCATTGAACAACAACAAAGTGTGATTCTAAGTGACATGGAAGCCACACGTCAAAAACAGAGGGAAATAGCTTTGTCACACAATGATTTTATGAGATCATTCTTGGACTGTTTAACATCAAGTGATCATTCAGAAGATACAAAATTCTACATGCTGCAATGGCTCAGAGTTTTACTCGATGAGTTATCTTCTGACCACCTTGCAAGACTTGAGGAGAATTACCATTCAGCTTGGTCCCAAATGAGAAATGTCCCCAAGAGTAAGGAGAAAGCAGAACTTGATATGCTCAGAAAACAGCTTAATTCCTTATCTGAAAACATGGCTGCGTGTACAATTGGATTACAGCACATCATGAGAGAGGTCGGTCAGATATATGAATGTTCAGTTAAACAGTCTGTTGGTGCTCTCCCTGCACTTGGAGCTGAAATGCTAATTTCAGGATACCCACTAGAACTGATGGATGGAGATGAATCACATGTACCCCTTATTTGGGTACAAGCTGTCCTGAAGAGTCTCATTGAAAAGCTTGGGGACAAAAAGGTGTATGTGCTGTCTATCTTGGGACTCCAAAGCTCAGGTAAATCAACCTTGCTGAATACTATGTTTGGTCTTCAGTTCACTGTAAGTGCAGGGAGGTGTACGCATGGTGCTTTTATGCAAATGATAAAGGTGGACGAGAAAATCAGAGAGGAGCTTGGCTTTGATTTTTTACTGGTTGTTGACACCGAAGGTCTTCGCTCTCCAGAGCTCAGCACTAAAACATCCCTGAATCATGATAATGAACTTGCCACGTTCATCATTGGAATTGGTGACATGACTGTCATCAACATCATGGGAGAAAATCCATCGGAGGTGCATGAGATCCTACAGATTTGTGTGCAGGCTTTCTTAAGGATGAAACGGGTTGAAATCAAACCAAGCTGCATATTTGTGCACCAGAATGTAGCAGAAGCATCAGCTGGTGATAAAAACATGGAGGGGAGGAGGCGCCTTCAGGAGAAGCTGGATGAAATGGCTCAGACTGCAGCAAAGGAGGAGGGCATTGACGATGTCTACAGCTTCAGTGATGTAATACAGTTTGATTTGGAATCTCAAGTGTTTTACTTTAAAAATCTCCTGGAGGGGGATCCACCTATGGCTCCCCCAAATCCATCCTACAGCCAGAATGTTCAGGACCTGAAATCTAAGCTGCTTTCAGTGGCAAAGTGGCAGACAGGTTTTCAATTTCCGTCATTCTCACAATTCAGACTGCGAGTTCAAGACCTCTGGAACGCACTTTTGCAGGAAAATTTTGTTTTCAGCTTCAGAAATACATTGGAAATTAAGGTGTACAGCAGCCTGGAAGAGAAGTGTGCTCATTGGTCATGGGAGTTAAGGAAATTTTCTTTGGAAACACAGACCAAGTTAAAAAACCAAATTGGAAGCAACAACATTTTGGATGTCAGTATCACAGATCTGATTTCTGACTTTGATGAAGTTTATATTGCATTAAAAAGGGAGGTTGAGGCACATTTCAAAGAAGACAAACATGCTGAAATCCTCATTAGATGGAAAGGGAATGTTGAAAACCGACTTGAGAGCCTGAAGAAGGAGCTCATTGAAGAAACCCATAAACATTGTAAACTGTTAATTGAAATTAAGAGAAGTATGACAGAACTAGATCAGAAAAAATCACTTTATGAAAAAAACCTGATGCAAAAAAGCAAAACCATGGCAACTTCTTTGAAGGACAAGAGGTTCACTGATGAACAAGTGGAGGAAGCATTCAGTTCACTCTGGGTTGAGTGGGTAGCTGAAATAGCAGAAGATCAGCCGCCTGATGAGCCAGTCAACATAAAAGCTATAGTGGAGAGGATTCTGTACTCTCGCTTCCAAAAACAGGCAGACATCATGAACAAGATTAAAACAATATCTGAAAGTAGAATGTTTGAATTTACAAAGAAAAAACATATCAGCCACACGGTCATGGAGGCAGGATTGGAATGGATTAAAGAACAATATGGAAAGGGGATTCCCCAGGGGTTTGCGGAAAAACTCCACGGAAAAGTGAATCACATGGTTGATGAATACATTAGGAACAAAGAATTGGAAAAGACAGATTTCAATCAAAATTTCATATATGAAATACTAGATGACGTTGAGAAGAATGTTGTTGAATATGAAGATGTAGAAAATGTGAAATTCACATATGAATACAGAGTTGACTTGTCAGTTCTTGTTTGTCTCGGTTCTGTCCAGAGGTTTCAAAACATGCACGAGTCATTCAAGAAAGCTAACAACCCAGTAACCTACCTGGAAAGTAAAAAGGAACAGTACTCTGAAATGTTCAAACAGTACTGCAAAGGAGCTAATTCTGTGAGAATTTTTGCTGAATTTTTATTCAAAAACATCCTGCCTGCAGTTGAAGAGGCAATTTACAATCGAACTAATTTGCAAATCATCAATATTATGAAATGCAAAAACCCAGCATTCAATGGCAACAAATGCAACCTTGAAAATCATATACTGAGATATCTTGCAGATCAAGAGCAATTTAAGTTATATACAGAATACATTGATAACCCAAAGTTGTATTTTAAAAATTTTATTGGAGAACATGTGGAAACATTTTGCAAAGACCACAAAAAACTGCAGGACATGCTTCATGGAAATCTAGCAGAAATAAAAGCATGCATTTCACACACCAGCACAGAGGTATCTGAGGAAGTGAACCTGAAGAACGGCAATGCATCCATGTGGCTCAATCATTTCTGTAAAAAGCTTGGGGACCACATGGTCATAAACAGGCAGAGTCTGACAAGCATTCAGGATGAAGAGATTAGTGACACAAAGTTTCTGAAAGAGATGATGGCCAAGTATCTTGAAGAGGTGGTTAAAAGTAAAAATATGAAAAGTATGAAAAGTGTTGATGCGTCTTCTCAGCATTTATGCCTCTTAAAGCAGAAAATAACAGAGATTCTTTTTAAACAGCTTGAAGGATGTTGGGCTCAGTGCCCTTTCTGCAAGGCCACCTGTACGAATACTATATGCAACCACAAGGGTGACCACAGTGTTCAGTTTCACCGGTCCAGTGCTATAGGTCACTCTTATTATCATAAAACAGATGAATTTACAAATGATTTCTGCACAACCAATGTAAGCAGTAATGGTTCATTCATAATCCTTGCATGTAAAAAAAGGTTCCCCTATAAGTCCTACAGACGTGGTGGTGACCCTTATGATAAGTGGAGCATCACCGCAGATGGGAGCACACAGGGTTACTGGAAATGGTTTGTTTGCAGGTTTCAGAAGGAGTGGGAGGATAGATGTGGATACAAATTTAAAGGCAAAGGTGTGATTCCTGACAGCTGGAGAAAAATCACAAAGGAATCAGTGCTGGAGGAATTAAACATAAGAGACTAAAACTACTGCAATGATGCATATGGAAGGGAAATCCCACAAGGAAACGTGTAGTGTTTTAGTTATAGACATCATGGGGTAAAAAAACTGGAAATATTCAATCTTCAAACAAAATATACAGCCTCTGCATGTTAGCAAAGCATGTAGGATCTTTGATGTAGTGTTCTTGAAATTAGGTTCTGATTTAAAAAAAAATAATAATCATTAAATCTAATTATCATTAAATGTCTGAATCTAACTACTACAATTAATGAAATGAAAATGTTTTCTGATTTATATTAGTTATTATGCCAAGGACAAACATCATAATTAATGCTCTTATTGTATTTGATCCTTAATTACATTGATCTTTAATATTTAATGACATATATTACTGCTTACACTGCTTGACATCATGCGTAGCGCCTACCATGTCTGTGGTCTATCTATGTTTGTATCTATGTCAAATAAATGTTTTATTGTCTTGCTCATTCCCTGTGTAATAATGTGTGTTTGTCAAGGCTGTAGTTTTTAAAGAGAGTAATCTTCATTAATACAGTATGTAGGATCACACATGCACATACGATAAGGCTGAGATTCCAGGTTGCCTGACACAAGGCATACCCTGATACGAGAGGTACTGTTGGCCTAGGCATAAAAGGGGGGTTAGTGACCCCCCACACACAAACACACATAAACACACACACACACAGATAACAAGGGCGGCCAGCACTCCAACTCTTATGGCCCAATGTTTTAGGGACCTACGGACAGCAGAGTGGACCTCAAGGATAGGGGTCCCTCGACTTGGCATGCAACCCCCTCCCCAGACATCCTGCCTTACATATCACTCACCCAACACCCTAAAGAAAGTTTCATTTAAGTTTGGCTTTTGTATACCCTGTATATTGATTTACTCATGACTACCAGTCTCAATATACAGATAGGTTATGTTTGTATGTGTCCTTAGACAATCTTAGTGTTTTTTGTGCCACCCTTATAACCATGTTCACGGAGTATCACCTATTTTACCCCTTTGCACTTGAACACGTATAAATTTGAATAAATAAATATGTATAGCTACCATTGCATATATGTTCTCATGGTTATACTAGAAGAATCTTGAAAATCAAAAAGTGTAACCAGGTATCTCAGCGTGTCCTAACTATCAGAGGTTCTTTCTTTGTTTAATAACCCCCCCCCTTTTCTTCCACATTCCTCCGTGGCCCTTATCTGATCTTTGTGGTCCATTAGCATTTCTTTGTCCTACTATTCTGCATTAAAAGAACTGAGTTAATGTGTTCATTATCAATTCTGGGGAGCAGGTCAATTGGGATAAGACACACCAACCAAAATATGTTGTTCCCAGATGTACAAGTTAAATTGGTATTGTCACAAACTAACGGCCACACCTATCTAAGGGTAAGATGTGATGTTTGAATGTGAATATGTCATGTAATGTTTGTACAATTTATCCAAAGTGTAACATCTGTTAAAGTGCAACCCAAAACACCTATACCGTATAGTGATGTGAGTCAGTAACATACATACTGTAATATAAGTAATTGTTAATTAATTAATACAGATGGTATGAGGTGTGAACCGCTAGGCTGGTATGGCATGTTTTGTGTCAAACTGATGGAAAATCACTCCTGATTTCAAATCTGGTCAATGGTTACCATGAAAGTGTATGTATCAAAAGTTACACCAGCTTAATGAAAATCATCAGTAAAGGCAGGCGCGTAATTTCCAGGGGGGTTAGGGGGGTCATGACCCCCCCAATAATCACACCATTCCAGTTAATAAAATTATGAATTATCTTGCATAAATAGCTTGTTGATTTGCTTTAATCATTTCAATTATTGCCAGCAAAATAGTTACATGTTTAATCATCTGGTAATGTAACCGCCCCCCACCCCACCCCATTCGTCAAATACTTGGTATTACCGAACCCGCTTTCTCTACGACTGCGCTGTTTGCTAGCGCAGTCGCTGGTAGTGATGGGAAGTTCGGATCATTTTACCGACTCGGACCTTTGAGTCTCGTTCAGCAAAATGAATTAATATTTTTTCGAGTCATTTCGTTCATTTTAGCAAAATATAATTAAAATGTTACCTGTTACCTCCCTAACACATCTACTGCTTACACAAATGTTGATCACACTACAAACAAGACAAAACTATAATGCTATAAGAAACAG